AAGAGTGTTCACCAGGGAGCCAAGCAGACTAAAGTTATTAACAATCTCAATCTCTTCACCATCCAACTTGATGCTGCCAATTGGTCTAGTGGTGAGAATTTTTGTCTTCTTGACATTGAGTTTCAATCCATACTGAAGGCTGCAGTCCTTGACCCTCTGCAACAAGCACTTCAGGTTCTTCTCAGTTTCAGCAAGCAGGGTTGTGTCATCTGCATAACACAGACTGTTAATAGACCTTCCACCAATCCTGACGCCACACTTCTCCTCATAGAGCCCAGCCTCCCAGATAATCTGTTCTGCATACAGGTTGAAAAGGTATGGAGATAGGACACATCCCTGACGTACACCCTTCCCAATTTTGAATCATGCAGTGTTTCCTTGCTCTGTTCTGACAACTGCCTCTTGGTCCAAGTATAGGTTTCTCATTAGAACAATCAAGTGTTCTGGGATTCCCATTCTTCTCAGAGTCAGCCACAATTTGTTATGATCCACACAGTCAAACGCCTTTGCAAAATCAATGAAACACAGATAGACATTCTTCTGGTATTCCCTGCTTTCAGCTAAGATCCATCTAACATCAGCTACAATATCCCTAGTACCACGACCCGTTCTAAACCCAGCCTGGACTTCTGGCAGTTCTCTGCCGATGTGCTGTTCCAGTCGTTTCTGGATAATCTTCAGTAGAATCTTGCTCGTGTGTGAGATCAATGATATCGTTCTATAGTTTCCACACTCTGTTGGGTCACCCTTCTTTGGGAGAGGAACAAATATAGATCTCTTCCAGTCAGTTGGCCAAGTGGTTATTTTCCAGATTTCTTGGCACAACTTGGTGAGCACTTCCGGGGCATAGCTGGTGGATTAAAACCAACTTTTGGCTAGCAGTCAAATATTTAACGCTGCGCCACCAGGACTCCTGACAGTGATTTCTTCTTATGTGTATGGCATGGCTCTGGAGACACACACAAGAACCTGGCCATACTTGGGTGGCTGCAGGGCAAGCAGTTGGCTGGCAGGATGAAAGCAGTGGATGGTGCCTCCTCATAGAACGCCCTTTCCAAGCACTTCATTTCTGAATCAGGTAGTGGCATGATCTAGTCAAAGAAAGACTTCTCTTTTAAAAGATGCTTAAAGAGATTTTTTTTTTAATAAAAGGGTGTTAAAAAAGACAGCAGACACTACTTCTACGACTTTACCTGGTTCGAGAAAGTGCTGGCAAACCATAGTGTGGTCCTCAACATCCTGACCTCTGAACTCCCAATCTGGGAACCCTTGGCCCACAGACACACTGAGATGGGCTGGAAGACAGTCTCCCTTGCCTGTCGCTTCCCAGCAGAGAAAGAGATGACTGAGCAGGCCGGCTGTATTCACAAGCCTTTTAAAAAGATTAAATAGCTAAGCCTGCCTTAAATGACTTGGTTTCATTTCCTCCTCAGAAAATCATGTTTGTAAACAGAGTTAGTCTCCTAACAAGTAGCCTTGGGTAGAAACCTGTGCATGATGCTGTTTTAACACTTCAATCCCAAGAACCCAAATGGGGCTGGGGAGCCATTTGGTGATGAAGGGCTGGCCGGAATGGTGATTACTCAGTGCTCATGTAGCTACGTGCATGGAAAAATGTTAACTTGGTCCCTGTGTGGTGCAGAGACACTCTAATGAAACAAAACTCACACCTCCGTAACACTTCTACCAGTTAGTGACAACTCAGTTCCTGGCTAAAATTACATGTCAACATTTTGGACTTCACTGTCTGCTTTTATCCCAGTTAATCAATAACAGAGTCTCACTAAACCCCAGTCTGTATCAGGTACAAACAAAAATAAACAAACTCTCCGTTCTCATAAACCCTTCATCTGAATCCTTAAGACAGGGGCCAGAGGCGCACACGCACAAACCCCAGAGTGGACAAAGCTCCAGGCAAACTCACTGCTAATGGTCTCACACCAACCTAACAAAATGTGCCTGGACACCCGATGCCAGGCGAGGCGGTCGCAGCCAACACCGGCATTCACCAGCACGGCGACACTGCCCCGCACATGAGGCTGTGTGGGACTGACAACAGCTTATTGTGGCATTGCAGGATAATATGAAAAGCTCCCAGAGCCATCAGGACAACACTCAATTCACAGAAATGACACACAGTCATTAGTGCTCTCACAAACATAGGCTGTTCTGAGGAAGTTCAAAACAGCCACTGAACATAGACTGAAAGCCTTGGACTCTCCAAAGAGAAGAAAACCGACATGAATGGGGACTGGCACGTCTCAGGTTTAAGTGGGTGGCATTCATGCTGGAGAAGCATCTCAATGAAAAGTTACTGCCATTTATTGCCAACCACCACCTACAATGTGTAGGCGTGCGCCCACAAGTAGATTTGGATGACTAAATGCTACATGCTCGTGTGGAAAATTTATTTCTAGTCCTAAATTTAAAACACCAATGAAAAATGCCTAAAGTAATTTGAACGTCTATAAATTCAAAGGGCGCTCTTGTGGCTTAGTGGTAAGGAGGTGCACTGCCAAACCAAACGATTTGCAGTTCAAATCCACCTGCTGCTTTGTGGGAGAAAAGACGGGCACTCTCCTCCACTGTGATGATGCCTCTGAAAACCTGCTGGAGGGTCAGCTATGAGTCAGTTCTGATTTGACAGAACACAGCAACAATAACAGCGTAAGTTAAAAACATCAATTTTCACAAAATTCATGTACTTACCAGCTGATCTTATAATTAATGCTTTTTAATTGGACTGGTCATTCTGAGAGGCACCAGAAACAGCACCACCAACTCACATTCCGTTTTGAAGGGATTCTCCCACCATAATTCTGTGCTGAACTATATACCTTTAACTGGTGTCTCAAATGGATCCACCATGACTGCCTCACTAAGGAATAAATCTATTCAGATAAAAAGAAACAGGAGCTGCCAGGTATATGAAAAATTTAAGCGAGGAGAACGTTAGTTTTAACCATCGCCTCCACTACATGGAGAACTTTAGAAATAAATGAGGCCATCAAAATATGAAAACATAATGGATGAAAATTAGAAAGCAGTCTCTTCTCTCAACAAATGAGCTCACTGGGGAACTGAGAAGAAAGTTTTTCCAAGTCTGAGGTAAAAAACTGCTGTAGGAAATGGCTTCGTACTCCCTCCCCCTTTCTGCCTTGGGAAGACAAAACACTCGCGTTATATCATCACAGACTTTCCTGCTAAGACACGCTGGATTCGCTCCAAGGAAACAGTCTGACTCGAGCACAAAGAGAGGACCTTCTTACGGTGAAATGAAAACGAGCTACATGCATTTTCTACTGCTTTATCTGCCTTCCTGCAGGAAGGTACTCGGTTGGCATCCACGATGCGGCATTTCTTTGAGCACTTACTAGGATGCAAAACCAGTGGCACCTACACAAACAAGATCTGACTGTCCAGGTGATTTAAACAGGGGAGAGTCGGCGTGCGCAAGCAAACCAGGGGCCAGAGAAGAACTACGGGTGCTGGAAACAAGCAAGAAGCACACAATGCTCATTAATGCTCATGTGCCAGGTACTACGTTAAAAGTCTTGCAAGAATTCTTACCACTTAATTTTACAACTTTTTAAAATGGCTACTATTAGGATCCTCTGGGAGCCCTAGTGGTACAATGGCTGAAGTGCCTGGCTGATAACTGAAAGGTCAGAGGTCCAAACTCACTGGCTGCCTCACAGAAGGTGTGGAAGTTAGCTTCCATAAAGGTGATGGCCTGGGGAGTTCTACTGGCAGTTATGCCCTGCCCAATAGGGTCATCCTACAGGGTCACTATGAGTCAGAATGGGCTTGGGAGTAGTGGGTTTGGTTTGCGATTTTGGATTATGATTTTACAAATGGGGAAACTGAGGCACAGCCTCCTTAACATCACACAGCTAGCAAGTAGTAGGGCTGAGACCAGCATGTTGGCAGTGTGTGGCCAGAGCCCCATCCCTTCCTGGCTTGCTACACCACTGTGGGGAGCAGAGGCCTTTTTCGTTGGAGAAGATGTCTTCAGAAGGGACAGCCAGCAGGGTCAGGAATGGGAGAGAACCAGAGGAGAAACAAGACACACCCTTACCCCTCCCTCTGATTACCCTACTGGAAAGAGCAGCTCTATAAATGAGGCTCAGGGCTATGTACTTGGCTGGCAGAAGGGATAGTAAAATATGAAGCGGTGATAAAATGTCGTCATCATTCAAAGAATTTCAATTAAAAACCTGCCTCCCTGCTTCTGGCTCAGAGTAGCAGACCTTTTTATACGCTGTTGGTGAGAATGTACATTTCAATGCAACCTTTATGGAGAACAATCTGGCAGTGTCCATCAGCGTCCTAAATGCACATATCCTCTGACCACACAACATAACTACAAGGATTTATTATGCTGACAATTTACTTCCACAAGGACTTCTGCAAGTTGCAACATTTCCTGTGGTATTGTCTATAGCAGCCAAAATAGTGGAAGCAACCTAAATACATAGCAGTGAGAGGAATGATTAAAAATTAACAAAAACAAAACAGACACACACTGGAATCATGCAGAAAAGGAACGTGGTCTATGCCGATTGGGAATGCTCTCCAAAGCATATTATTAAATAAAATGGTTAGTCCAGGTACAGAACAGTATGGATCCTATGATCTCACCGCCACTACGTTTTTCTAGTTATGTGCCATCTAGTCGCCTGCGACTCACAGCCACCCTATATACAACAGCTTTGAACCCTGTCTTATCCTGAGCCAATCTCACTGCCTTTAAAAAATGTTAACAGCTTCCCTTACAAAGTCGGACTGAGGGAAGCAAGGAAAAGGAACAATTACTTTTTACTTTATATCCTCACAAAAATGTTTATATTTTTATCATTCTGATAGATTACCTTGGTAAATCCAAAATAGCAGAAAGCTTTGTTTGTTTACTTTTTTAAAGACTTCCCGCCCGCCCCCCCCCCCAAAAAAAAACCAACTAAGTTGTTCTTGGGAATTGTACATTGTGCTATTTTTAGTACCTTGTTTCCTTCGTACACCCATCCCAAACTCTTCACGCCAAAAGCAACTTGGCTGGCTGAGACATCAAGGCAGGTAACAGGCTGCCCGTAGACGTAGTGAAGGGTTCTGGCAGAGTCTTCAGCTTTGAGCAGGTAGACCAGATCTCCAGCTGTGGCTATTGCCACAGGGTATCTTCCAGTATCTGGAACGATTTCAAGGTAGTCGACCTGTTAAAGGATGAGAGGTGTACAGTTCTTATGATTGTGCCTAAAATTCATTTTGACTTGATAAAAAGCACACAATTACTTCTACATGTCAGTGTGAAGACTGACAACAGGAAAAGACAGGCAAGGGAACAGGGCACAGAGTATGGAACAGAAACAGCTCTGCATAAATGAAATGATGCTCAACATAAGAGAAACACAATGCATGTCTACTAAGGAAAGTCACTTAAGACAATACAATAACAACAACAACAACAACAAAAAACAGGGCTCACTGCTATCGAGTCAAGAACCAACTCATAACTGCCTCTCCACTGAACTTCCACTGACTCTCCTCTGAGCTTCCAATCGAGGTCAGCAGTTCGAATCTACCAGCTGCTCTGAGGGAGCATTATGAATTGTTGTTGTTAAGTGCTGCTGGGTCGAGTACACCTCATAGTGACCTTGTGAATAAAAGATCTGAACCCTGTCCTATCCCCTGCCATCTTCACACTTTCTTACACACTAGAGCCCATTGCAGCAGTAACCCTGTCAATCTACCTGGTTGAAGGTCCTCCTCTCCTTCACCAAACCCCAACCCTAAAAAGCATCATTTCCCTCTCTAAAGGAATAGCCACTCCTAGCAACATGTCAGAAGTATGTGAGGCAAAGCCTCATCATTCTTGCCTCCAAAGAGCACTCCAGCTGCACCATCTTCAAAATGTTTTTGTTCTTTCGGTCATCCATGGGATGTTCAGTACTCTTCTCCAACATCACAGATCAAAGGCATTCATTATCATTTTTTTTTGTCATCCTTATTCATTGTCCAGCTCTCAGATGCACAGCAAGTGATCAGAAAGATCATGGCTTCAATCAGAAGCACTTCGGTCCTCTAACAGACATCATTACTCTTCAATAATTTGGAGAGGTCTCTAACTGCAGATTTTCTCAGTGCAATGCATCTCTTTATTTCCTGACTGCTGGTACCAAGGGTGTTAATTGTGGATCCAAGTAAGATGAAGTTGTTGACAGTTTCATTCTCTTCTCCATCCATCATGATGTTGCCTATCGGTCCAGTGGTCAGAATCTTTGTTTTCTTGACACTGTGATGCAATGCATACCGAAGGCTGCATCCCCTGATCTTCTGCAACAAGTGGTTCAAGTTCTCCTCACTTTGAGCAAGCAAGGTCCTGTCTTTGTCATAATTCAGGTTCATTGATTAGTCCCCCTCCACTCCTGATAACACATCCCTCTTCATAGAGTCTAAAGTGGTGCAGCACTTGTCTGTCAGTTTGCTGTACTGAGATAACTTGGGGCTACTGTGACATTGAAAGCTATGTCACTGGTCTGTCAAAAGCCATAAGGCTTCCCCATCGTGGACAGGTTTTAGTAGAGTTCCCAGATTAAGAAAGACTTAGAAGTAGGACTTGCCATCCACTTCTTAAGTAACAGGCCTTTGAAAAGCCTATGAACATTATGGAAGTGACTTTTGATTTAATACAATGGAACAAACTACACAGGCAGAGAAAACAACATGGAAAAGGTCTTCACAAGCTTAAGCAAAAGAAATCAACTCTAAGACAAATTTTGGAGGCAAGGAGAAGTGAGGAAGGAAGGTGAGTGTTTTGCAGTGGAAATGCATATTATCTTACACATGTAAGAATTTTCTATCAATTTGCTTCAGAGGAAGAAATAGATTGTGAAAAGGAAGATTTCTCACAATAAACCTCAGGCTTTTTAATTTCTGCACCATGAGAGGAGACCAATTGCTAGAGAAAGTAAGGCTGATTTTTCCTTTACAAGAAAACTCATTTGCTGTCCAGTTGGTACTGATTTGCAACTGACCCTCCACTGGGTTTCCAAAAGGAATTTAAAAAAATTTACTCGATTACATGTGAACAAAAACTATATTTTAGTGTCTATGTAAATTCCAAACAAATGTTTTGTAAAAGATTAAAAGTATCTGCATGCTCTGTCTCTCCTGGTTTCAAAGCTATGTGGTGACTCCAGAGACTATTTGGCCATCTGAAGGTGGCAGTCATTATAAACAAAACTTTTTATTCTACCATGGCCCTCAGGACATGTCCAATCCCACCATCTCCTCCGCTCGGCCTAGGTCTGAGGTGAGCCCTTCACAGGGAACATATTGTTCTGAACCCAGAAAAGCCTGTCTCTCATGGTGCAGTCTGCATCCTCCTCAAGTCAATTAGAAGGATCCACATGCTGAAGGTGAGCCACCTCTGTAATTATGAAAATCCACAGTGTGAAAGGCCACCAATCGCCTGACAGCATGCCAAACGTGTTCAGGAGCCCGAATCCTGCAGGCTGTCCAGAGGAGTTGGGAGAGGACACATCTGGGTGACTCTGCTAATCCTTGGGCCCAACAGTGTGTGCGCAGGCAGCCCTCGGGCCAAGCCTCGGCTCCATCACAAAGGCTGGATGTTCTCGGCTAACATTACAAACCTGGGAACGCTGCCACTGCTATTCAGGAGCCTATCTGGGGAAGACAAAAATGGCCCAGCTTTCCAGGCCAGTGGGGTTTTTTTCCAGGGATACTCGGCATGTGCTGTGGCCATCTCTCACATGGGGCCAGAACAGTACTGCTCCCACCCTGACTGCTAGCTTCCTCTCTTTCCTGGTCTGAAAGCCATTCCTCATTTTCCTCCCATGGACATCCTCAATCTGGCCATTTGACTTCATCCTCATGCTGGACATCTGACAAAGAGGCTCAGGTTGAAAGTGAGTATGCCATTTGCTGGGAGCTGCAGACGACTTCAAAAAGCTGCTCAGCTGGGCCTGGGTTCTACCTACTGCCAAGGCAGGATTTACACTTTACAGAGGGACTCACATCCCAGGTCACTGCCTGACACCATCCGGTTCTTGCTGGCCCACCATGTTCTTTAATCTGAGACCAAGCGATAGGCACCATGGAATTTCTGAGAACAAACAGCAAATGCTGTGCTTCTGCAATTTTTCTAACGAAACCACAAGATGAGATGACAGCATGAAAGCAGTTCTGGGGAAGTGCCACATCCCACGGCAGAGATCTGGTCATCAGAGGGGCAAGAAGCTCGTGGCGGTGAAGCCACGACTTTTTAGTGATTCCAGTCTAATGGATTTCCACCAGGGGAAAGAAGCAATGGTCTGCTCCAAATTAGGCCATCAATTAATTATTTCAATTGTTGATTTTTCTGCTCATACTCCTATTAGTGCCAAAATGAGCCTCATTTCCATTCATTGAATCCAAGTTCAGGAGAGCCTTCATATACTACCGTCCTTCACACCAGCAGATCGTCTAGCACCACACAAATGTAGCAAGGTCTTCATACGAAGACAGGTATTCCTGATGGAATTCTCAAGTGGGCTGTAAGTGGAGCGTTCTTGGGGCTGCCACTGCTTCACACATGGCATCCTGGAACACAGCACCCAATTAACACTCATTTAAATCATTTTCACTCAAGAGTTACTCTTAATCCCAGGTGAGAAAATCTTGGGATGAAGAAAATAGGATGGAAACCTTCCTTCCAGATGGCCTGGGATGACATCTCTGGACTCATTTTCACTTCTCTCTTAAAGAACCAAACTCTAACGATTTCCAGGGGTGAACATCCACTGTGACAGGGGAGGCGGAGGGCCACAGTGAGGGGAGTCAGCCCCAAGGTCTGAATCACAGCTGTTTGACTATGGAGCTAGGACAAGTCAGTTACTGTCCTACCCCCATGTGTGCTTCCTGGTCAGCAATGATTTCACAGGGCTGTTGTGACATTTAAAGGCACCCTGGTGGCACAGTGGTAAAGCAATTAGCTGCTAACTGAAAGGCTGGCAGTCTGAATTTCTCATCCGCTCCACAGGCGAAAGATATGGCGATCTGCTTCACAGACGCCCCACGGAGCTGTTCCATGTGGTCCTATAGGGGTGCTATGAGTTGGAACAGACTCAACAGCAGATTTGTTATTCTGGTTATGATATTTACAGATTTATAGCTCACAGGAAGCCCAGTGAGGAAGAGCTGCCAACATCACCACTATTTATTTATGTTAGATGCAGAGATTCTCAGAATGCAAAATAAATGACCAGATCAGTAGCTCACCAATTTCTGAACTTCAAATTCTGCCGCTATTTGCCAATATCCTTCTTCATCAGGGCACAGCATTACGACATCAAAGGCAGATGCTGTGGCAATCGTCGCATCATCTTGGCTGAGGGCCACCGCCTGTATTCTTGCATCATGCTCAAAACGATGAATAGGAAACTTTCCAGTCCTTAGGTCCCAAATATTAAGAAATCCTATACAGAAAGAGATAAAATGCAGGTAACTATTTTAAATTTGCTTCATATGCCCTCCAAAAATAATAAGCAATATTAACAAAATTAAAGGTACATGACAGACTAGCTAATACACACACAACACACATCTCATATGCAGGATATACAAGGGAGCTCTGGTGGCCTAGTGGTAAGGAGTTGCACCAGCTATCCAAAGGTACATGGTTCAAATCCAACAGCGGCTTCACAGGAAAAAGATGAGCAATCTCTTGTGATTTACTGCCTTTGAAAACCCAATGCGGGGTTAGCTATGGGTCAGTTCCAATTTGACAGAACGCAACAATATATAATATATAATATTTTTGTTCTATTATATGTACTTTGGACATGTTGCAAGGAGGGACCCATCCTTGGAGAGGGATGTCATGCTTGGGAGGGCGGAGGGACAGCGCAGGAAAGGAAGACCCTCGATTGAGATGGACTGATTCAGTGATTGGGGTAATGGGGGAAGATGTGTCAGAGACAATGAGATTGGAACAGGATAGGGCAGGGTTTAAGGCTGCTGTACCTAGGGTTGCTATGAGTCTCCTTTATTAAACTGGTTCTAAGAAAACACAGTGAACACTGAAAGAAAAATAAGAATCACTATTTGCAGAGAGTGTCATGTGTTCAAGAGCCCCTAGATTCAAGATTAAATAACTCGACTTCAGGTTAATACCCATAGCCAACCACTCTAGCCTCTTAAAAATCTTTGTAACTATATCAGCAGTTTGACTCTGTCCTCCAGGGTCGTTATGGGTGGGAGTCAGCTCAAAGGAGTGTGGTCTATGTTCAGATCCCTTCACTTGTTGCCTCTGAGTCCTCATTTCCACTATGGAAGAAGCATCAGTACCTTCATGTTCACTGAAGCTGTGAATGGTTAGGCAACACTTGGTCAGTGAGGAAGCTGGCTTTGTGCTCAGAGATGAGTGCAGACGGCAGGGCCACAGTCTTGCAAGTAAAGTGCCTACCAGCTCGATGAGTAACTGACACACACCATCAACCCCACCTGGGTGCTCTGCCAAGTGGGAGTTATTTAACCACAGCACACTCTAAGCACACATGGAGTTTATCTATAAACACATTTTTCATTATTAATCAAGTATCGGTTTTGTTGGCATAATTTTTTTCCAACAGGACTGCATGCAATAAAGTAGCCTTTACCACAAGCTTGAGTTTCACTGAACTACACGAAAAAGGGTCATTTTTGGAAAAGGTATTTCAGGGCCCTACCAATTTAACAACGGGGTTCTAACAGCACAGTCTGCATTGTTGTGCACTAACAAAAAGGCTGTGTGTCTGTCAGTTCGAGCCCACCAGCGACTCCACAGGACAAAGACGGGTTGTCTCTTCCTGCTGAGATTTACAGCCTCAAACCGGAAGGAGGGCAGCTGTCAGAATTGACTCACTGGCAATAAGTGTACTTCTAGTTTCACCTATTTAACAAGGAGCCTTGATAGCATAGTGGGTTCAGTGTTAGCCTGCTAACCCAAACCAAAAAAGGTCGGCAGTTCAAAGCCCCTAGTCATTGCCAGAGAAAGGTGAGGCTTCTATTAAGATCACAGTCTCAAAAATCCCACAGGGCAGTTCTCTGCCTGACAACCCTGCAATGTCACTATGAGCAGAAGTGACAGCATTGGGTCTTTAACCAATTTAACAGTCCAATTCTTCTCTTGTGTCATCTCACTTCTATCACTGTTCTCCACTCCAACACTAAGTGATAGAATCTGGACAGAGCTTCACTTATCAAAATTTTTGCAATCATCTGCACGTCACTCCAACATTACCTTTTTTTAAAAAAATGTTTTTGTTATTAATTTTAATAAATATTTAGAGACTTTGGATTTCCATTCATTGTTGCACTTTTTTCCTTGCCCACCCCTACCCCAGAGTCCACTCTTCTCTTTGAAAAGTAAAATTCTTTCATTGTTATACAATCCCTCCCCCAGGTCCACTCCACTAGACAGCCTTCATTCTGACTCCTGTCATGACAATAATACCTAACCACATATTCCTTTCCAAAAGTTCTCTCCCTCATCTGTTTCAATGCAGTATACATAATTTGTCTCATCTTTCTCAGTCTCCCCCCAACCCCAATGTCAGTGCCATTTTACAACAGTGGCACTATGCAGTATTTGTCTTTTTGTGACTGAAATATTTCATGCAGAATGTCCTCCAGGGTCACCCATTTTGAATAATATTGCATGAGTTCCTTGTTTTTCAATGCAGTGTAGTATTCCATTGTGTGAATATACCACAGCTTCTCTATCCGTTCATTTGTTGATGGGCACTTGAGTTGTTTCCAACTCTTTGCTATTATGAACAAAGCCATGATAAACATGGGTGTGCATATATCTGCTTGGGTGGCAGTTATCTTTTCTTTAGGTTAAATTCCCAGTAGTGTAACTGCTGGGTCAAATAGTATTTCTATTTGCAACTTTTTGAGAAAGTGCCATACAGCCTTCCATAGTGGTTGCACCATTTTACACTCCCACCAACAGTGCCTAAGGGTTCCAGTTTCTCCACAACCTCGCCAACATTTGTTGTTTGCTGTTTTGTTAAATTTTGCTATTTTTACTGGGGTGAGATATAATTGTTTTGCAATATCACCTTTAGGTAAGTAAACATTTAGGTGTCACCTGGTGAAGTGACATGTTATCATTAGAAGATGCCTCTTCTTTCTCCCTGATGTAATCTGCTTTGAAATCTATTTTGTCTGATATCCATAAAGTCATCCCACCTTTTGTCTGATTAGTTAGTTCAGCGAATCTTTTTTCTATTCTTTTACTTCATCTGCTGTCTTTAAAGTGGCTTTCTTGAGGGTATTATGTAGTTGGTCTTGCTTTTAATGAGGGTGTTTAGATGACTTTTATTTAGTGTGTAAAAATCAATGTCTAAGGTCAAGTTTGAGCTACCATTTTGCTATTTATTCCTATGTGTTCTTTGTTCCCTTTTCCCTCCTTTTTTCTGCCTTCTTTTGGATGGAATATTTGAATTGAATATGTGTTTATTCCATTTCCATTCCTTTGCTGGCTTATTAGCTAAAACTCTGTTGTGTTATTTGAGTGACTGCTTTAGGATTTTAGCATACATCCTTAACTAGTCAGTCAGTGATATTATGCCACTACAGATACACACACACACACACTCCCCCAACACACTGTGAAAGAACTTTACACCAGTACACTTCCATCTCCTCAGCCAGCCTTTGCGCTACTGTTGTCATACCCTTTATTTCCACATATGTTATAAACCCCACAGTATGTTGTTATTATTTTTACATAAGCAGGCAATTATCTTTTAAAGAGATTTAAATAATAAGACGACAAGTCATTTATATTTACCACATAATTACCACTTCTGGTACTCTTCCAATATCACTTTTAACAGCATCATTAAATCATGCCGCTTTCTCGAGATTTGCAACTCACTCTGCAACTGATCCGGATGGTACTGTTGGATATTTGACCCCAAAACTCATGTGTAGGTACAGACACAGCCATTCCCAAGGAGGCACGATTGAGCAAGAGCTACTTTAATGCTTGGCTAACTTAACTAAGTTAAAATAGTTAAAGCAGAGCCACTTCTACCCCCTCAAAATTGTGGAGACTAGAGGGGTGACTGGACTCTGAATTGAGAGGATGTTCTATAGTATGACAGCTGATTATCACCCACACTAACCAATCCTTGGCCCAAAAGGTTATCACTGCAATGATACACCCAACAGCCGTCTCCTGGCCTCTACTTGGTGCTGGCTATTCCTGCAGGCACCGGGTGGCCAGCGGTGAACAAGAAAATACAACAAGGCAGCCCTGGCTGCATGGAGCTGACATTCTGGTGGCATGTGCATGGCATCTCATTTATGGGTGTAAAGAAGAAAAGGTCCCTATACTTACAGAGCTCACAGGAGAGAAAGAAAAACCTTTTCTAAACGACAGTGTAACAACTGTCAAAACAGAGAGCGATATACGAAGTGCAATGGAGAATGGTCCTGTCATCATACTATCTGAAGATCCCAAAACATCAGCAGCTAACTTTCCACACATTTCAAGCTGGAGGAGGCCTACATTCACTGCTTGGCATTAAAGAAACAGTAGTCAGTAACCACCCGACCCAAATCCATTCACTCCTCAACTAGGTGGTACTTATTAAAATCAGATGTAAATGAGGAAGATAAGCTTTACCATATCCTAGACACAGCGATAAAATGGATTTGGCCAGTGACACTGCATGGACCTAGGAAGGAGGACTGTGTGCTCTTCCTCCATGTTCCCTACAGGAGTAAACTGGGAGCACTGAACACAGCTCTACAGCAATAAAGGGTTTGCTGAACGACTGTCTTATGTTTTAGCAAGGGAACATTTGGTTGTAAGAAACAGAAACCCACTCATATTGGCTTCAACACAAAAGGGAAAGTGACTGGAAAGGAACCAGGCTATTTCCATGGAGCCCAAGGGGTGGAAGTCTAGCTTAGAATTATGAAGCAGCAGAACAAGAGCAGGCAGTCAGAACCAATGCAGTGCCTATCTGGCAGGTGCAACACACAGTCACTTACCTCTGCAAGTCTACTTCCTTCTCTCTTGCTGGAAACCAGTATTCTGTCTCCACTAAACACGTGATGAAAAATGGCTTTCCAGCCCCACAAAGTCTTTGGGCCCAAGCAGACAACAGAGACTGAGAGTAGCTCCAAGTCACCATCTCCATCAGGAATCATATTCCCTTTTTCAAACTAGCTGTGCCCCAAAATACCAACTGAAATAGTCCAAACATGTTCCCTTCCAGAGGGCTATGGGAGGAGTCTCAGAGCAAGGAGTATCAACTAGGCAGAATCAAAACCTAATGAGCTCTCCAGTCCAGCTCAATGGGTGGTGACCTCACAAATTTCAGAGTAGAACTGTGTCTCACTGGGTTTCCAGTGGCTGCGATGGTTCAGAAGTAGATCACCAGACTTTCCTCTAATTCACTTCTAGGCAAATCCGAAC